GTGTCGAAGACTGACTGTAAATGCTGTGGTAGTTTGGAGCCTCGGGCTGTTTTGACCTTGTGACACTGCCATCTCAACATGTAGTTTCTAGGTTGCCTCAACAGCGAAGAGATTGTTGGAGGCTCATTTGCTAGCTCTTAAATTCTTTGGTCAACCACAGTCCATTGAACAGAACTAATCACCTGAGCCCACCTAACCGCAAGAGATCTGGAAAATGTGAGGAACACCTAGATATCTAGTAAGCAATTAATATTTCAGTTACAAAAGTCAAAACAAAAAAAGAGAAAAATAATTGTACTTTACAAAGGGAGGCATCTGGCTGGGTACGGTGGCTCACGCCTGTAATCCTAGCACTTGGGAGGCTGAGGCGAATTGCCTGAGCCCAGGAGTTTGAGACCAGCCTGGGCAATGTGGCGAAACCCTGTCTCTACTAAAAATACAAAAAAAGCAGCTGTGCTTGGTGGCGCGCACCTATAATCCCAGCTACTCAGGAGGCTGAAGCATGAGAATTGTTTGAACCCTGGAGGTGGAGGTTGCAGTGAGCTGAGATCACACCACTGCACTGCACCCTGGGTGACAGAGTGAGACTCAGTTTCTTTTTTTTTTTTTTTTTTAAAAAGGAGGCATTTGGTCTTCTCAGGCAGAGAGTGCCCTGTGGGAGTTTTGGGGAGTGAGGATGTTTCAGAGTTCTCAACTCCTGTGGCTCTTCCCAGGTATATCCATTCTAACTGGCAGATCACAGAGTGTTCTAGTTATCACCAGTCTTATCCATTTCATTTTAGCAGGACATATGATTAATTTCTTGTTCTGGACCCTTGTAATTTAAATTTGCTGGTGGTTCTCTGTTTCCATTTGGTCATCTGTAGGTTGGAACTTGTCTCGCTCTTGTTGAACTTTATCAAATTATAAGCAATAACCAATACACTCAAATAGCCTGGTATATTTGCCATAAACCCTAAGCACTTCACCCTCAGTTTGCACATAGTCTGAATCCTTAGCAGCAAGAGATTTGCTTAATCAGTGGCTTACAACAGCAGAACATGGACTGCCAGGAAATTTTCCATGCTGAGTTGAGGGAATCGTCATTGTTTCTCTCTCTGGTTGACTCAACTAGTTCCATATTTGTTCTGAAGGTCTTTCACTCAAGATACAACTTCCAGATAATCGTTTATGTCTTCATTAGAACTCCTTTAGTTTCAAGTAGAAAAAATCATGTTGAGCTATTCTAATATAGTAATAGTAACATTGAGTGAATGTTTATTCTGTACCAGTGTCTGGCACGTAATAAGTGCTTAATCTTTGTTGAATGAATGCTAGCCATTGCACTAAGCACTTTAAATGCATTATCTAATTTAATCCTCACAAAAACTCTACACTAGGATTTTTTCCTTTTTACAGTAAAAACAACAACAGCAACAACAGCCACAACAACAAAAAAACAAAACAGAGATTTAGAAGCTGCCCCAGGACACACAGCTAGTAAATGCTGGAACCAGGGTTTGAACCTAGACCATCTCATTTTTTGCTACCCTATGAGGAAAAAAGAGAATTTATTATGAGAGGGTTGTTACAGAATGAAGGGCAGAAATTCAGAAGGATTACAGGATGTGCTGGAACTGGAAAGCTGTTGGGAACTTGGGTCATATTCTCCTTTGGATTCATCTGTCTGCTTTTTAGACTAGATGTGGTATCCTTGATGGGCAAAGGGAATGTTGGTAAAATTACACAACAGATCATTTCACGCATCTCAACTTTTGATTTGCCTTGGAAAATCCCATCATTGCTCCCAGCTGTCTTGTGACCCGGGTTAAGTCATTCCATTTCTTTAGGCTTCAATTCCCCTGTCTATAAAATGAGAAGTTCTTACCTGAGGATTCCTCAGGTCTCTTCTGTGATCCTGGGAGGCCGAGGCAGGAGGACTGCTTGAGTCCACGAGTTCGAGGGTGCAGTGAGCTAGGATAATACCACAATATTCCAGCCTGGGCCACAGACCAAGACCCTGTCTCTAAATAAATAAATATATAAAAATAAAACTCCGTGATCCTAAGTGAATCTTCTAGGTCAGAAGCACATTAATAATGAAGTTCCATGTGTGAATTTGAGGGAGAGAATGGGGAAGGGTTCTAGGGAAAGGAGGACAGAATGAAAGTTTGGGTGTAGCTTCAGTGTTGAATTGCTTTTAGAGTTGGTGTAAAGTGAAGGCCTTTGGGGAGATATAAATGGGGAATGGAAAAGACTTCTAACCCTGGCCTAGGGCGGTGGCTCAAGCCTGTAATCTCAGCACTTTGGGAGGCCGAGGTGGACAAATCACTTGAGGTCAGGAGTTCAAGACCAGCTTGGGCAACATAGTGAAACCCTGTCTCCACCAAAAAATACAAAAATTAGCTGTGCGTGGTGGTGCGTGCCTATAGTCCCCAGCTACTTGGGAGGCTGAGGCAGGATAATCGCTTGAACCAAGGAGGCAGAAATTGCAGTGAGCCAAGATAGTGCCACTGCAATCCAGCCTGGGTAACAGAGTGAGACCCATCTCAAAAAAAAAAAAAAAAGGAAAAAAATGGCCTTGTGGCTCACACCTGTAGCGCCAACATTTTGGGAAGCTGAGGTGGGCAGATCACTTGAGGTCAGGAGGTCAAGACCTGCCTGGTCAACATGGTGAAACCCCATCTCTACTAAAAATACAAAAATTAGGCAGTAGTGGTTCACACCTATAATCCCAGCTACTCGGGAGGCTGAGGCAGGAAAATCGCTTGAACCAGGGAGGCAGAGGTTGCAGTGGTGAGATAGCCCCACTGCACTCCAGCCTGGGCAACAGAGAGAGAGTCCATCTCAAAAAAACCAAAACCAAAAACCCCAAAAAACAAAAAACAAAAACAACAAAAAAGACTTCTAACCCTGACCAGACCAGATTATTTTGAATGACATCTCTCTCTCTCTCTGTTCCATGAGCAGTTCTGTGTGTAGGGAGATCAGTCCCTGTGCGTAGTGATTGAATCTGGTTTCTCTCTTCTTGGCTCAGAGTTTCTGAGAGGGCTTTCACTTAGGCCACAGAGAAAGAACCAAATAATAGGGGGTCCCAGGGGGAAGGGAAAACCAAAACATTTGAATGGCCTAATGAGCAAGTCACATTTCTCTGGGTCTGTTTCCTTATCCATAAGTTGAAAAGTTTGGTCTATGTGATCTCTGGGGTGCTGCTCAGCTCTTGACACTCTGTGGTTCTGGGTAGTGAGTCGAAAGCAGCTTTCCTCTTCCTGAATTCTCCATCCTTGGACCAGACCTCTGTCTTCATTTCTCATCGGTTTATACCTTGCTGCCCAGTTTCTTGCTCCTGGGCATCCTTTCTTCCTCAATTTCTTCAAATCCTACTTGCTTCTTAGCTCCTTTCTATCCTCTTTGTTTTCTATGTTTCTGCAGAACCCCAGATTACACCCTTACACACCTGTTCTCCAGTTCTCCATCTCCATGTCTGCCTATTCCTTTCTGCATCACGGGCTTATAACTCAAGCAATCTCCTTGGGTTCCTCTGAGGGGCCCCTGGGATCCCCTATCATTGGTTCCTCTCACAGAAGCATACCCTTCTCCAGAGCCAAAGGATCAGATATTCAGTGGCTCAGGTAACAAACCTGCTGTCAGGTTACAGATATTGTTTCCTGAAAGACCACACTACAGTGTCAGTGGAGCCTCAGGCTGCCTGCAGTGCCCTGCCCTCACCTGGCTATCCCACACAGTTGAGATTAACCAGAACTCCCCTCCGGTACCAGTGTTCACCTGGAAACATGGCTCTGAGCCTCTGGCCCCTGCTGCGGCTGCTGCTGCTGCTGTGCTTTGCAGGTGAGAAGAACAGGGAACAGAACTGGGGATGAGGAGGAGGGTGGCTGGAAAAAGACTTTTAAGAATGTGGAGGTTAACCTGTTAGATAGAAGGACAAAGGAGAGAGGCAGAGACTTATGCAAAAGGAAAAAATGAGGGCTAAGAAAAGCAGGCCAAGACTTACTATGGGCCAATGAAAGGGGTTCAGCTCACCATCCCCTCACCTCATCTTTAGATCCAGGTAGAGAACTGTGCTCAGAGGCAGGGTTGAGTTTGGGCTCTATGTTCCTCCCCTTTAGTGACCTCTGATTTCTCTCCTTACAGTGACTCTTGCACCTACTGGGCCTCAGTCCCTGGGCCCTGGTCTCTCCTTCCTGAAGTCATTGCTCTCCACTCTGGACCAGGCTTCCCAGGGCTCCCTGAGCCGCTCACAGTTCTCTACATTCCTGGCCAACATTTCTTCTTCCTTTGAGCCTGGGAGAATGGGGGAAGGACCGGTAGGAGAGCCCCCACCTCTCCAGCCACCTGCTCTCCGGCTCCATGATTTTCTAGTGACACTGAGAGGCAGCCCGGACTGGGAGCCAATGCTAGGGCTGCTGGGGGATCTGCTGGCACTGCTGGGACAGGAGCAGACTCCCCGAGATTTCCTGGTGCACCAGGCAGGGGTGCTGGGTGGACTTGTGGAGGTGTTGCTGGGAGCCTTAGTTCCTGGGGGCCCCCCTACCCCAAGTCGGCCCCCATGCACCCGTAATGGGCCCTCTGACTGTGTCCTGGCTGCTGACTGGTTGCCTTCTCTGCTGCTGTTGTTAGAGGGCACACGCTGGCAAGCTCTGGTGCAGGTGCAGCCCAGTGTGGATCCCACCAATGCCACAGGCCTCGATGGGAGGGAGGCAGCTCCTCACTTTTTGCAGGGTCTGTTGGGTTTGCTTACCCCAACAGGGGAGCTCGGGTCCGAGGAGGCGCTTTGGGGCGGTCTGCTACGCACAGTGGGGGCCCCCCTCTTTGCTGCCTTTCAGGAGGGGCTGCTCCGTGTCACTCACTCCCTGCAGGATGAGGTCTTTTCCATTCTGGGGCAGCCAGAGCCTGATGCCAATGGGCAGTGCCAGGGAGGTGAGTGTGGCCAGGGCTGGG